AATTTACCTGCAAACGATATTCTACTGCTAAATGGTATGCTTAGATATGCTTATCATGTCGTTTGCTATCAGAAACCACGAAAAGTTGAAAAACTTACTTTTTTTAAGACAATAACTCACGAGGGAAATGTATGTAATATGGGTCTATTGTCCCCAAATTGGGTCTATTTATGGATGCAACTTCGTCCTATCTTGTTTGATCCTCAAAAAAACGCTCTTGGTAACGTTTTCTGATGTATTTTTTTTTATCACTATCACTGTTAACTTAATGCTCTTCATTCCTCAAAACATTTCTTAGAGAAAATTTTACGAAAACTACATTAAATCACTCAATTTAAAAATTAAAAATTAAAAATTTCGCTTATCGTCTTTTGACCGCAGAATATCTAAATCAGAACATTGTGATGTTCATTATACAGGTTTGGCAGAAAAAATCTCCCTTCCTGTTCGTTCCTTATCATCCAAATGCAAAACAACATTGTTGACGTTACTCTTATTGCTATATGCTGTCAAATGAATTTCATGGGCCATAGTTAGGAACATAGAAAAGAAATGTGTCCCTAAAGTTGGGTCCATGTTTTACTTGTGAAAACGTTGTTAAACAATTAAAATAAACATAAAATATTCAAACAGCAACTGTAAGTTTTACGTCTAGTGTGTATTATCAGGTAATTCCAATCAATAAATGCCATAATCAGGCCATTTGATGATCGTCAGTCAACCTTCCCATCTTAACCTTATAAGTCATGGCAGCTAAAAACTCCGAACATTGTGATATTCTCAACCAGTTTTATTACTTACGAGAGCTGAAAATGTATTGAAATGTTGTGATATAAATTGATTTGTGTGTGGTACACATTTATCAACCATCAGTGATCAATATTTTCCTTATTTTTTGTGTAATATTCCTTAATTAATTATTTATTTGCGTGATAGGCCGAATGAAAGGACTAGACCCACATTACATACCGTAACCCTATTATATCGATTAGGGAAAGGACCAGTTGAGAGTGTCTGCCGGGTGGCGAAGCACTATCAATATAACTGTGAAAGATTGGGCTAGAAAAGGAATTGTGGTCGTTGCCAAGTTGAAAGGTGACTTGAATAGAAGCAGGAAGAATTTTATCATCAAGGAAGGGAGCGGCTGATAGAAAAAAAGAAAGAAGATGAACAATTTTGTAAACATTGATCAGTCATGCAAACCATCCGTTTTGGTGAGACCGTTTCATTTTATATAATTTGGGAGTTTATTATTTATTATGATGTTTCCGTAAGTTATAGATAAATTCTGGAAAGAGTTTGAAAAATTATGCTAAACTTCAGATATCCCCATAAGGGTTCTCAAGGTCCATCAAATGGTAGTTACGAAAGAAGAAAGAAGCGACCGAAAAAGGTCTCCATTTGTGACATTTCATAGCAGTTTTTCTGAGCTCGGAAAAGGTGACCAGTTTTAGTGCGATCATCTGGGGCCTCCCTTAGCTCAGTCGGTAAAGGCATAAAGCAAGACCATGTTGGAGGTGGCTGGGTTCGATTCCTGGTCCGGTCTAGGAATTTTTCGGGTTGGAAAATTTCTCGACTTCTCTGGGCATAGAAGTATGATTGGACTTGCCACACAATTATACTAATGCAAAAATGGTACAGGCATCGAAAGCTCTCAATTAATAACTGTGGAAGTGCATCTAGAACACTAAGTTGAGAGCATGCAATAAGCTAATATGCGATATGCAATAAGCTTGAAATGCGAAGAAGAAGAAGTTTAGTGCGATCATCCCATTTTTATCTATAAATTAGGAATTTGGCTAACACTGGAGGCAGTTCGTGATATTATATAAATCAGTAATTATATCACATATTATTATTATTATTTGTTCAAACATAAGACTAATGTGCCAGAAATTTAAAAAAAATGAAGTCCCAGACATTTGATTTATTTTAATTTCGCAATATTAAACATTTCAAAATATGACATTTCGCACATGAATAATCAAAGCTTCTTATAATCCAGAATCCAACGCGATGTCCAATATTGTTCTAAGAACTCACATTTTATTTAAATTCTGAAAATCGAAAAAAAAACTATCCTAATCTTGAAGATTTTTCAAAATAGTTCAAGAGGACTTTTCTAAAAAAAACCTTGAAGCTTATGATTATTTTCTGTGATCTTGATAAAAATTCAGTGTAATTAACTTGAAACTTTATACATTATTTTAGAATATATTAACAGCAACAGATGTCACTAGCAAAAAAAAGAAACGGTGCCCAAAAAAATGCTCATTTATACGAAATTAGAACCATTTTTGAAAAGAAAATATTTAGAACAAGCAGGATGTTTTCCTTTTACCGAACTGGCATATCAAATAATTTCTATTTTTGCTTCTGAAATCGATATTTGTGGAAAAACGTTCAAATCTCCATATGCATATTTTTTATATTAACTTGCATAAACTATTCCATTGGAAGGTGGCCCCATCCTGTCTGTAGTCGTGGTGAGATTAAAACAGACTGCTTACGTTGTCTCCAGAATTTCCATAGAATCAACTCCATAATACCATAGAGGTAACTCTAAGACCAGAAGGTCCCGAAGAAACGTGCTCAACTTTTTGGCTCAGCTCTGGTACTATCTTCGGTCCCAAGCTAATCGATGCACCCCCCCAAACATAGGAAAACCCACGAACCCCTCATTTTATCTGTCAAACTTTCATAGCGAATCAAAACAAACATAGTGTAGTACTAGAATTTCGACTAGAATGGGGTACGTTAATCGATTTGCTAGTCAAGTAGTGAGCCAATTTAAAATCGTTAGTTTCCGCCGGTTGATAATACTCTAGAAATTCAGTATAGTATAGTATTCAGTATTGATTCACCCTGCAATTATCATAAAATTCTTAACCATTATCGCTGAATTACTTAGCAATTTCCCAAAGAATTCTCAAGAGAATATCTCTCCTCAGTATTCACTGAGTATTCGTCAAAAATTCCCACTGCATAATCTGTGGAATTGCCTCGAATTTCCTCGCGGAATGTATTCTCTTGCAGTGGTTCCGTGAATTTCTTGAAATAATCTTCAGAATTCCCAAGAAACTCTTCTTTAAGTTCTCTAAAGATGATTACAGGAAGAACCGATAATATTCCTTTAAATTTTAACTCAAAATTTCGTTGTAAATTTCTTTGAAACTTTCCTCAAAATGTCTTTCAAATAGTCCTCAGAATATTAGTTGAGTCCTTTTCATAATTCTCTTTCATCCCTCCTTCCCAAGTACCTTGAAGATTTCCTTAGAATCTACTTTCAGTTCTCCTTAAAAATCGCTTAGAAAAGACTCCTCAAAATTACTTTTAAGTTTCAGAATAGACAAACAGACGTAAATCATTGAAAACAGTTTTTTTTTATAAACATTGTGCCTCTAAAACTAGAGCCTCAATAACGACATCTCCCGAACTTCTCGCGGAAAACAAGCTAGCTCACTAAGTCGCAATCACTATTGCATGCAAGGTATATTCTGTTTATAGAAACAACCTAAGAGAAAGAGGAGACAACTGGCTTCTTACTCTTTTATCTCTATCTATATCTATCTCTATCTCTATCTTACGCACTTCAAGTCGGCCAATCACGAGCTGATTCGCGTTTGACAGAAAAGTGGTTCTTTTTTGCCCCCGTATTGTCTCCTCTTCTCTTAGGAAACAACAAAGTGATGCGATCCAGAATGAAGTGCTATGTCTGTTTGTTTGTGGTTTTAGTCAGAACTCTCTTTGAATTCTATTTGGAATTGTCTTCGAGTGCTATACAGAATTCTTTTGAAACAAATTACTTCGAATCCTACTTAGAACTCTACTGAGAACTACCTTGGAATTCTCCTAACGTTTCACTTGGAGTCTGGAGTACCTCAGAACTTATTTCCTCCGTTCTAATTTTCCTAAACATTCTTCCTTTGATATTTTCCTCTGAATTAACTTGAGATTATTCCTAGCCCTTGGCAATTCTCATCAAATTTATTCATTGAAGTTCATACCGTTTGAAACTTTATTTTAAATCTGGGTTCTTGGAATTGATTCGATGTCCGTAGTCTAGAATATTTATTTTCACTTCAGATTCTTGAAACCTTCCCTAAGTTTCATTTCATTAGGCCCAAGATTTCAAATAAGAGTCTATGTTTAAAATCTGTAGAAATTATCCATGTTCCAGAACCTCAAAACACAATGATTCAAGCCTACGAGGTCATGTTGTTACTGAAGATAAATCCATTGTAGAATTTTTATGTTTAAAGCTCAAAAATTGCGACCATCAAATGATTGAAGTTAAAAATAAATAATTCCCTACGTCAAATGCAACATTTCAATCAAATAAGTTTGAATTACATAAAAAATTGTACACAGACACGTCTCGGAGAATGAATCTAAAAAATAAACATTGACCACCCGTACTGATCCACATACTACGAAAACATTCAACAGAAGTAGATCCCCCGTGCCAGAAGAAGGTCACACATGTGCGGCCTCGTTACGCAAATAAACATAGCCCGTCAATGCGGAAGTGCATCGTAATTCTGCACTTTCGATTCATTCACCACTCCACGATAAATACGTTCGTCAAACGAACAGAGCCTATTGGGTTACAAAACATTCCACTCGTAGAACACATTCGACAATAATAAACTCGATCAAATTTCGGAAGAACAGCCAATCAACCCAAAACTGTCCACGGGCAGCATTTTAAACAACCTGACTAACGCAAACAGCATTCGCAAGCATTTTACCATTATTTTTTTTTTTTGCTGAATACAAGTGTGTATTCAAGGTTTTTGCATGAGCAAATAACTAGTTGAAGTTGGCCACTCATCCAGTTCGGCGGCACTGTTTGTAAATACCGCGCCACCCAACACAGCCCGTGTGTACTTTGTGCATTGAACATGCGTGCGATTCCAAAAAATTCCGCTGAACACTGTCCTTTGCGAAAAAAAAAATTCTGTTTGTTTCAATATAGCTATTTTTTGCCTTTCCCATAGCGTCATCACCGAGCTTCCAAAGGTCATCAGCGTCATCGCGAAGGTAGCTCCGACGAGTCCCCTGCGGAGGAGCCTGTATAACAGTTCAGCACACTTTCAGCGGGAGAAGTACATCTTCGATATCGTGCTGCCAACGTTCGAAAAGTTCCAGGAAACGCGAGGGCTCAAACCCTCGCGGATGTTCAACCACTACCCGGCGGTGATTGCTTCGGACTGTACCGAGGGACAGGAGTTTGTTCTGCAGAATGACCTTACGGCGCAGGGGTTCAAGAACTTCCAGCGGACGGAACCGTTGGACTACGACAACGTCCTACAGATTCTGACCGAGCTGGCCGAGTTCCACGCGGTTTCGTTTGCCATGAAGGATCAAGCGCCGGAAATTTTTGCGAAAATTGTCGGCCAGCTGAGGGAGACGATTTTCGTGGCACCGTTGCACAGTTCGTTCGAGGGGTTCTTGAAACGGCAGGTCGGCTATGCGATGGAAACGTTGCAGCACAATCCTGCCAAGGGGGACGATGCCGTTTGCAAGCGGTTGTTCCGCTTCCGGGACGAGTACGGACCGTCGATGGTGGAGTGCGTCGAGAACAAGGATGATGTGGTGATTTGCCATGGCGATTGCTGGATTAGCAATGTTCTGTACAGGCATAAGGTCAGTCGTCAGTGGTTATTGCGGTTAGGTTAAAATATTAAACTTTTGCAACTGTTTCAGAACAAACACCACCCGAAGGAGCTGCGATTCCTCGACTGGCAGGTCACCCGCTGCGGCACGCCGGTCATCGATTTGTCCTATTTCATCTTCTGCTGCACCGACACCGAACTGCGGAAGCGCCTACCGGAGCTGCTGCGAACCTATCATACCGCCCTGGTCGAACGAATCGACGAGCTCGGCAGCAACGGTCGGAAGCTGTTTCCCTTCGATACGCTCCTGGTGCATCTGGAGAAGTTTGCCCGCTTCGGGTTCGGTGAGTTTCAATGCATGGTTAGGCGAATGGTTAATGGTTAACTCGAATATTGTTTTCCAGGAATGGCCCTCATGACCCTCCACTCAACCTGCTGCGTGGAAAAGGACCTGCCGGACGTTTCTGCGGCGCTGGAATCCTCCGAACTGATCGATTTGGACAAATACACCAAAGATTTACTCTACAACCCGGCCTACATTAAGCGGATGACCGGCGTGTGTCGCGATATGGTTAGGCTGGGTTATCTGTAGGTTAAGTTTTATGCCACACCACAAACGACCAGTTTGCATATTGACAATAACAATTTGTAGTTCCCCCCCCCCCCCACTTTCCGACAAACTAGCAAGTAGAAACGTACTTAGTCAGTATTGATTGCTATGAGTGTATCACGCAATGACAGTATTCAATTCGGGGTCTGTAGCTCCGAAGTAATCGTAGATTGCGCCGGAAATGCACCTGCTTTAAGACACATATCAAAAAATGAACAAACAAAACAAAAACACGGCATTTCATGCAGGGATATTAGAATTAGACGACAATCGAAAAATTACGAATCGTAATCGGCGCAGTAATCATCACATTTTAGTGATCTGGTTGTACAATTGGTTGAATGTGAGTACTAGTTATAAGATTTATGTGAAACAAAGCATATATCATTGCACTTCCCTGCATTAGCACGTGGATACTCAAAGCGAGGGTTAGGTTACTGATGTTATTTTTGAAGATTTGACATAACACATTTAAGATGAAATGTAACATATATACGTAGGCAGACATCTGCCGCAAACGATACACTGCACCCATGAAAGGTCTCACCCATTGTATTTTTAACGATAGAATGGATTTAGTTGTTTAAGGATTATTCTGTTAAATAGATAAGATTTTTAGTCCGTAAATTATCTCATTTTTGATCATCCGAAAGCCCAATATATGTTCAATCAGATTTCGAAATAGAAAGGTCAAGTATTTTTTAGGCGATTGCGATTAGGTCGACGAGGTCACTATGTCAAACGGGTCTTTAGACCGAAATTTTAAATGTCCTCCATATTTCGTCAAAGACATCATTATTTGAAGAAATTGTCGATCAGTAGCTCCTGCTTACAATCCAACGCAACTTTGGGGCTGCCACGTGAATAGGTTTTGAGCGATTTTAGAATCCACTCTCCTAACACACCATTTCGTTCAAAACCAGCCGTATTGCATTTGTAAAATTTGGTATGAACTCCCTCCCCCCTAAACTGTCCTCTAAGTAAATCTCACTGAAACCAGTCCACTTTAAGCACAAGGTTCTCAAAAACCAATTTTTTTTTTATTAATTATGAAATTCTAGAGTTGATTGCAAATGCTATCTAACATGAAGCTTTAGTGGGATAATGTGATGGTCTGAAGAGGGTAGGTTGATAGTTCCGCTAGAGTACGGAATTGCGATAGTACTAGTCGAACGTACACTTCTTTACCCAACTCACTTTACTTAACCTAGATAAAGAGGTGTGCGTTTGACTAATACTGTCGCATTAATGGCCCTTCGCTCATTTTCAACTTCTATTCAATTATCATACTGCCATACTCTAGCGGAACTATCAACCTACCCCCTTCAAACCTTTCTCTAGCTAATAAATTATCACACCAAAGTTTCATGTTAGATAGCATTTGCAACCAACTTTAAAAATCGTATACTTCACGTATGAAGTAACAAAAGCCACTTTGATAGAAATTCTAGTTATGAAACTTGATAAAATGAAGAACCCTTCGGTAGCTAGGGGCACTTAAAGCTTTCAAAAGTGCGTATTTTTGAAACATTAAAATAATTATATATTTGAATATTCTCAATAAAACATCTCATGTTCATACACCAAAGTAAAAGGGAAAATTAGGGCTTTCATTTGGCATGTTCACAAACTAGAGCGGCTATTTAAATTCTGCCGCCATGTTGGATTTAATCTTAAAATGCGTTTTTCATGAGCATAGGGTTTTTGATCTAATTTCCGTCCTACTAAGCACAACCCGCGCTTTACCTGTCTTTCCTGAACGAGTTTAAACAAAAAAAATCATTTCTGTCAAAGATGACTTCTAAATTTATTCACCTTTCCATACGTACCGTTGGATTTGATAAAGAGTCACAAATTGTTGAGATATTGCTTAAAATCTAATACTGCTTCTTGATTCTATTTTTTTCCTCTGTTCGGGACCTAACACTACTGCGACCAGTAAATTGATCCATTGTAGTATATCCCGTGTCCTTAGTTTAGTGCATGTCGTATTACTCCATCACTATTGAGAAATGATGAAGTATTCGATTTTTTTTACAGTTGCCACTCTTGCATTTATCGCAAGGATCCGACTCTAATTGAAAGGTCCCGCTATTTATACCCTTCGGAGTGTTGAAACACCCTCCAAAGGCGCGCCCCTTTGTCAGTCAAAATTGGATTCCTTAGCAACAAAATTAAGGTATGACACCGATAATGACCATGCATCAGAACCCTAGTCTTAACCACTTCAAACTAGGGAACAACGAAGAGAAAATTAGGAATCACATAGATGAAGACAACTAACTCATGTTTTTCCTTGTTTTAAGATCATCCTCGGTAGACAAAGCCGAGTCTTGTCACTATCGACAAGGCATAAAAAGTAACAAGGACTGTTCCTTGGATTACTGAAAAATCCTGTTCCCCTAGTTTGAAGTAGTCGGGACTAGGAATCGGTGGTAGATCTTACATCCCGTAACGTACCACGAAAAGGTGATCTACCCACGTTACGGGGCAATTCGTTCTATGAGTTTCAATTCCGTCCTAACACATTGAAACGCCATTAGATTTCCTTCGTCCTACGGATAAACGTAGAAAAAGGGGATTCGCTAGGAACGCTTCTTTTGTTTTGAGAACAATGAGCGTAAATATTCATAGAATGCACTCTAATACGATTTATGTTGTAGCTAATGAACTAACGCATCAGAACAAACCTATTATTAATTTGTGAATGGTGATATCATTGATATTATTGATCTTTTCTGATCGATAGAACGGAAATGGGCGATTACGACGAAGTAGCGCTCTTCCCTACCTCCCACAGATTTTGAAAATAAGCATGGCATTAGAAAGCTTAGTATGTTTGCTATAAGATACAGTTCAAATTTTGATGGAGCAAATAATTTGATTCATGCAAATAGAAGAAAATAAAAAAGTGGGTTGATAAACCACATATGAGCCCTAATGAGTGATTGATTTAAATCACTATATTTTCGCAAGATAATCCTAATATCTGCATATTACTGATAAGGGGAAAGATTGGGCTTTCATTTGGCGTATACAAAATCTTGAACTGTCATATTAGATTTGGCCGCCATAATGGATTTCTACAATAAAATGCGATTTTCATTAAGGAACATCCATAAATGACATAGATTTTTTTGATAAATTTTAGACCCCCCCCCCTCCAACTTTCGTAGCATATTTTGCTATATTTAATACATGGCCGATCACAACTTCTACAGATTTCTCCTTCCCTCTAGAATACTACGTCCACAGACAAACAAACATAACACTCGCAAGATGTTCATCGAACAAGCATTTATCGGTCAATTTCAAAGTAAAGCTTGCTTCAGATAGAATAGGAACAAAAACAATTGCCTGTATTTCAGTTATTTATTATTGAATTCAAGATCTTTTTTTATACAAATGTAGCGTTTTCTTCATACTTTTAAGAAAAAATACGGATAAAATTATTCGTCACGGTTTCGAAGGAATTCTCGAATTCTTCCTGTAACACGGCTCATTAGGCGGCGCACACCTTCTTCGTCCATCGTTTTAGCTATCTTATTCCACCAGGTCTTCATCTGATTGATGTCTTTGACAACCTTTCCCTTTACCTTGAGTCTCCTCTTCATGATTGCCCAGTATTTCTCAATAGGGCGGAACTGGGGGCAGTTGGGTGGGTTAAGGTTTTTCGGAACAAACTGGACCCCTTTCTCTGCATACCATTCTTGAACGACTTTGCTGTAATGACAGCTTGCCAAATCTGGCCAAAACATTACGGGATGGTCGTGGGATCGAATGAACGGCAAAATTCGTTTTTGGAGACACTCTTTTTGGTATAGTTCCGACGTCATTGTCTTATTTGTAACGAAAACTTTCGTTTTTTTGCCACAGCTGCAAATGCACTGCCAAATCATAAATTTTCGTGCAAATTTGTCGGCAAAAACAAATTTAAATTTGGCTGGAACATCCCCCCGAGCCGTTGCCAAGTAAAATTTTTGACCTGGGATTTGCCCGAAGTCAGCCTTGACATAGGTTTCATCGTCCATCAGAAGACACCCGTCGAACTTGGTCAGCACCTGGTCGTATAGCTTCCGCGCACGGATTTTGGCCACACTATTCTGTTTTATGGTCCAATTTGGCTGTTTGCTAGCTCGATACGACTTGATTCCTTCCCGGAGTCGAGTTCTCCTCACGGTACTATGGGCAGCATCGAAATTTCTGGCCAAATCACGGTCAGACAGATTGGGATTCCTCTTAATCGTCTTCAAAATCTTACCACGCAGTTTCCGGTCGACAGTTCCACTCCGACGATTGGCTTGAGGCTTCCGAATCGTCGTCAATGTTTCCTTATACCATTTGATAACGCGCCATACGGTATTTCTGGGCAATTTCAGCTGTTTAGCTAGCCTAGATGCAGACCACAATGGATTTTCCAAATAACTGTGCACAATTTTTTCCCTTCTTTCGGCTTCCATGTTGATTGTTTACAAAGTACAGTCGATTTGCGGAATGTCAAAAATACATACGTGAAGCTGACAAAATTCCCGACACGTGGGCGCCAAGAACTTCCACATTCGTCCACCAGGAGCACCACAATATGAGCAAAAGTTTGTTCCAATTCTAAATGAAGCAAGCTTTATCTTAGTTGGTAGTATCACCACCTGTGGCGCGCATAGTCAATTCCCTTGCGTTTGACGTTTTCACACTTCCGCCATCTGTTCAGCGTATTACCCACCACAGTGTACTCAACAGATGGTGGATATGTTTTAGCGACGATGTTTTACAGTGAGAAATATTCAATGTATTATGTCTGTTTGTCTGTGCTACCTCATTTATAGTAGGAGACTGTAGACCAATTTTGAAAAGTACGTAGACGTAGACCGATTTTGAAAAGGTTTAGACCCCCTCCCCTACGTATACAATTATTCGTATAATTTTCAGGAAATTTATATGGACCATATACACTCACCAACCTTACCTTACCAATCAAGCAAAGGCATAATTGTCCTCTGCTGTCCGAAGAAGTCTCGTCTCCACTCTACTTGATCCATGGCAACACTTCGCCAGCCTCGTAGTCTGCGAAAGGTCCGCAGGTCGCCTTCTACTTGGTCGATCTTCTTCTTCTTGTTCCTGTTGTGTCACTTTCGAGAACCATTTTCACTGAGTCGTCGTGCGGCATTCTTACAACGTGTCCAGCCCACCGTAGTAGCCCATTTTTTGCAATATGCACGATCGATGGTTCTTCCAGCAGCTGGTGAAATTCGTGGTTCATCTGCCTCCTCCACGTTCCGTCATTATCATCATCTGCACTCCACCGTAGGGCCAAGGGCGCGTTGGTCCTCCACGTGAATAGTCCAGGTCTTATGGCCGTAGAAGACCATCGGTCTAACCAGCGTCTTGTAGATAGTCAACTTCGTGCGGCGGCAAATTTTATTCGACCAGAGCGTCCTCCGGAGTCCAAAGTAGGCACGATTCCCTGCTATAATGCGTCTTTGAATTTCTCTGCTGGTATCATTTTCGGCCTATTTGAGCCCAAATACACAAACCCGTCGACCGTCGGGGTGGTAGGTTTACATTGTCTTCCCTAGAACC